TCATGGGTACGTTTTGAAAAGTTTTATGTGTCTCATTGGAACCTGTATGCTTCACTATTCGGTTGTAAACTAAGTCTTGACCCTTCCTTAAATTGCTAATAATTGCGTTGCGTCCTCCCAACGAAAAGCAACCGCCTCAGAGACACGAAGAAAACCGGTGAACATCAACGTGGCAATTCGCAAATCCTTGGGTGAGTTTGATCCGAGTCCTCGTTTAATCAAAATTTTTATCTGCTCTAAAGTTAAAGTCTCGTGGTGTTTGACTGGGACCCCGGTTTTCTTTGCAACTTGTAGGATTGCGTTGATATGTTGCTCCAAAAATCGGATTGACCACCACGTTGATTTGCAAGCTTCCGTGCTCCACTGTTTGAGATCTCTCCACCAGATAGAGCACCAATGAAGCGGCATCATTTGCCAATTGATATTCATTTGCAGGTTGTGCGCAAACTCTTGACGATCAAGTTCAGACGAGTGTGTAGACATCCATTGATGAGACCGCCAGTTTCTTTCCCACCAGTCCTTGCGTTGCAAAGGATTTCGATTTGAGCTTCGGTCGGGCCGCTTTCGCTAGAAGCTTCGTCGCTTTTGTTCGAAATGTTGTTCTAGTTTCGCCAGACTTTGACCCAATTCGTCCACATTACTTGCCATCACTAAATTAAAAATGTCGGCAGAGTAAAAGAGAGAATAAAAAAACATAAATCACCACAAAAACCTTAACCAATTGACAAATTGTCCAGAATGACATTTTTCTCTAAAAACTTTTCTTTTATACTTTTTTCGTCCCAATTATCCACGAAATAAAACCGACAACTTTTAGATTACGGTAATAGGGATATGCTTATAAAAAAAATTCAATTATTATGTTTCCAACACAAAAACCTTTTTCCAGTTAATTATCTGTATCTTTTGTTCGAATTTGTTTGTGTTCGATAAACAACAGGATGATTTTATTCAAAAAGCGAATAAAATACATTCAAATTCCACATTTTACAAAGAAAAAGCCGATTTAAAGTGAAAAAAAAACCAAAATATCCCCGAAAATTCGCTGACTAATTTTTTTTGTTTTGACTTTTAGTTTTTTATTTTTTAGTTTTTGAGTTTTTTTGAATCTCGAACTAACTAGTTGGCTGCCTTCTTAAAAAATTAATTATTAGTAAAAGTATCACAAAAAGTTAGGTGCTAGCTACAATTTGTTGTTTTTTTGTAGTGGTATTTGTGTTGACCCGTAGACAAAACGACAGAGATTATGGACACTTGGGCACATGATTCTCCTTGTCACATTGAATACTCGTTGGAGCACCGATCCCTTGGGTTGTTTCGATCGTTGTGTTGACACCAACCTGAAAACTCAACCATATGACCATACTGAAAACCACGCAAAACCATTTGGAGCACTTATAAGTTTTTCACAAAAAAATCAAAAAAATCAAAAAAAATCTTTCAAATCATCTACCGTGTTTATGTATGTCCAGACCCCGCTTGCATTGCATTTGGCTGTCACTTTCACTGATCCACATACAGGCCCGAAGATTGTTGTTGTGTATGGCTAAATTTAAAGTTATCATCCTCAATGACTCAAAACGACTACCGGTCCGCCGACGTTGAGAACCTGAATGAAGACCGGGAAATTTGGCTGACTACATTCGTAAGTGACCACTTGGGCCACTGGGCATGTTCCGTTTCTGAAAATTAAAAAGATAAGCTGGGTATGAAACTTACTTGCATTAAACCTTATACACCAAAATGATAATGGAGAACATTTTAAAAACAACAAACTACAATTCAATTAAAACAAAACTCACTCCGGCAAAATGGTTAGGATTCCGGACATATCGGTGGAGCTTGTAGGGATCGTTGAGCAGGGACATGCTAGTTAAGTTGGTAGGGTTGCGGAGAAGTTTTAAGAACTTACAGTTGAATGTTGTTATTGTCGTTGTCGTTGTTGTCGTTGTTGTTCTCGTAGTTGTCGTTGTGGTTGTAGTTGTTGTTGTCGTAGTTGTTGTTGTCGTTGTTGTCGTAGTAGTTGTCGTTGTTGCTGTAGTCTTTGTGGTCGTAGTTGTTGTTGTAGTCGTTGTGGTCGTAGTTGTTGTTGTCGTAGTTGTCGTCGTAGTAGTAGTTGTCGTAGTTGTTGTCGTAGTAGTTGTTGTGGTAGTTGTTGTCGTAGTAGTTGTCGTGGTCGTTGTTGTCGTTGTTGTCGTAGTTGTTGTTGTCGTTGTTGTCGTAGTTGTTGTTGTCGTAGTTGTTGTTGTAGTCGTTGTGGTCGTAGTTGTTGTTGTCGTAGTTGTCGTCGTAGTAGTTGTTGTCGTAGTTGTTGTTGTTGTGGTAGTCGGGGTGGTTATAGTGGTAGTGGTAGTCGTCGTTGTTGTGGTGATTGTAGACTTGGTCTTTGTTGTAGTGGTGGTACTTTTGGGGGTCGTTGTCGTTTTTTTGTGATGTTTATGATGCTTTTTGAAACGACAACAACAACATTCGCGACTTTCCGATGAAGAGCTGTCAGAAGAGTTTTTGGACGATTTCTCCGATGATTTAGATTTAGATTCATCTGATGTTTCTTTCGACGTCTTGTCATGCAATTTTTCATTTGATTCCTTGGAAGTTTCGTTGACTGCTTCTTTTGGCAAGTTTTCCGATGATTTGCCAAAGGGTTCCTCTGTTCCATTCACCCAATTTTTCAACGGCTTATCCGAAGATCGGTGTGACTAGAAATTTGATTATCTTTTTTTCGTTTAATGTGACAAACCTTGGCGTCGATGATTACAATGAAGAGAGCTAGACTGACGAGCAAAAGCTTGAACATGGCTTAATTTTAAAACTTGAAGGCACATGTACAACACAATGTGAGTATGATGAGGTATCTCGGCGGCTTTGTTCCATCATATATGTACAGAGAGTTGATGCAAAAAAAACAACAGTTTGACCAACAGAAACACTGAAATGAGTTCCGGAAAACTTGAAACACAACATTTGTTTCTTTTTTTAGCAACGGACAACACCAACTTGTGTGCACAGGCTCTGTTTTTGGAAATGAAACGTGAAAAATGGATATTGGTTTTTGTTTTCGCGTACAGTATGAAAAATTTTTCAAAAACAATTTACTCTAAATAAATAAACAAAAAAGAGTATTTACTAAAATATTAAATGTGAGATCGATGACATTGATGCTTGCAAAAAAAATTCTTGTAAAGCTACCAAAGATCTACATTTTACTTTTTTTTCCGGTACTTTCCCGTTATACATCCGCAAAAATAACCCCTGATCATTTAATAACCAAAAATCGATCAATTTAATCAAAATCAAAAATAAATAATCAAAAAATAAACATCAAAATAAGATCAATGAGGAATCCATGCCATAGCAATTTGTTCCAACACCCCTTCGTGGAAATCGGACCATGAATTCAGCGAGGCAGCTCGATAGGAAATGACGTGCCGTGCCGCGATGCTTCTTGTTTCTCCACTTGGCAGATCCCCATAGACGTTCGATCGTCTTCGTTTGAATGGCAGGGTCATCCGGACTCAGGAAGTTGTACTTGTGGTTGACTTGAGCGTGGGTAAAGCCGGCTTCCTCCATCTGTTGAGTGTTGTATCCTCGCCAACAATCGAAGTAAATTTGGGTCCACCGCGCCGTCAGGAAATACCAAAAGAATTAATTTTCTATGGTTTTCCTTGTTCATTTTCATGGAAGGATGCAAATTTTGCGGATGTACAACGTATAACGGATGTATAACGGAAATGATCGGGGGTTTATTTTTGCGGATGTATAACGGAAAAAAACCGTTTTTTCTTTTTACAGAAACACCAAAATTTATTAACAAAAATTAAAAAAAATATTAAATATTGAATATAATTTTTTTTAAAGTGTAGAAACAGAGAAAGCAAGAGATTTTACCCCTAGAGGCATCAAACCCGTGACCTTTCTCACTCAAAAAGCGTAAAAACAAAGAAGCATAAAAGATTGGATCGAGCCGGGATCGAACCCGAGACTAACCAAGCCCAACGTTACTCAACTTGGCAGCCCGGACACACTACCACTCGGCCACGCGGTGGCATGTATTCTTTCATTTCGTTTTTTAGGAAAAACGGTCAAATTATGTGTCAAATATTATTAGATTTTATGAAACACGTAAAAAGTTATTCTCGTGTTGTTCCTTGCACAAATACCCGTATCCTAAAGCTCCTATTTGCGCTGCTCCCTACAAAATGATTGGTTTTTTTAACCAGAAAACCTTTTAAGCCTAAACTTTAGTAAAAATCAACAATCACGGGCGTATTCCTTTGTGGAAATGTGGCACTGGCCACCGATTACAAGGGGGTTCAACTGTGCGGTGTCAGCTTTTTGCCTGGATTTGCAAAAATTATGCCTAACTAGTACTTAAAATCTAATTTCAGGAGTAATGGATTGTTTCCCGTGTCCGACTGGAGGTTTATTCAGATTTTCAGATCAGAAATTTAATATGCTTGTCATACCCTTGTTTTTTAGGCGTCTGGTTATCTTGAAACAATACATGAAAATGCACAAAATCATGTGGACTTTGTGGAACGGTTAAACAGAACTGAACATGTGTATCGGCAAGTTATGGATGTCCGTGCACTTGAGTTAAAAAAACCGTATTTACTTTAATTGGGCCCAGCAAAGGTATGAGATTTGATTGACCGAAACTTCAAGCCATTTTCAGCTCCGACAAAGCAAAGTTTTTGTTGAAATGGCATTTTGATACTACAGGTAACTGATATAAATATAAAAAAATTGAAATATTGTCAAAAATTCTTAAAACTTAAACTCAGATGTTCTGCGTAAGCGTACCGATGATCTATCAAATCGTCTTCCAATTGCCTGTCACCATACTTGTCGGTCTTGTATCACTGATGGGGGTTTATTGGGTGAATGTGATCGTAGGATTTCTTATCTTTGTAACAAATTGTAATTCAATTTCTCCCGGAAACAATAACATGATATGTTTATTATTGAATATTACGCAAGTGAGAATTCTTTTCCGATCAATGATTGACCAAGCCCAGTCCCGCCATGAAAGCTTTACCAACCAATCGCTCGAGATCTGGAATTTGTTGTTGGGAAATTTATAAAAAGATTTTGTTACATTTATTTAGTTTTATTGATTTCAACTCACCAAATGAAGTGGTTGATGCTTGGGGTGGAGTGTTGGTCGAGTTGGGGTTGACAAATGGAGGAAGTGTCACGTTTGGAGCTGAAAAGTATAGTACTGTAAAGCATCCGGTATCTCGTGTACACGACTAAAATTATTTGAGAATTAGGTAGGACTTAATATCTTTCACCACCCCTTTCAACTCATTTGAAGATTAAAGATATTCAGCTCCGATTACTTTCAAGTCCGACAAACTGTAGGCAAAATACTGAGGACTTTACAGTATCATTGAGTTTAAACAAATGTCAACTTGTGATTGGATACGTTTCAGGCTGGAAACTGACAGATAATTACAAAATATCATACCCAATGTGAATGGTGCCCCGGTATAGTTGCCCACTGGTACGACGGTGGCGTTTTGACGAGCTGAAAAGGCTTTGATAGACAAAACAAAAGCTGCGCTTGCTAGATCTTTCCCTTTATCAGGGGGGTGGAAATTTTTTGGTGAATCATCACCAAAACATTCTTTTAGCTCAGATAAATACAAAATGCAATATCACTTAAATGCAAGAAAATAATACATTCAATTCAAGTATACCATATTCCCCACAAAAAAATCCTCCCCTGATAAAGGGAAAGATCCCGCTTGTTTATTGATTGACTTCTTTTGAATTTAGATTGCAATAAGCAACTCACCATTCAAAACTAACGGCGACGGTGTGGTCCCATTAGCTGAAGGGCCGGCCGTGTAGTTGTAAGCTAAAAAAATAGAGTTCAAAGCGTGAGAAAGGCTAAATAATCTTAAGGATCTTAAGAATTAAAACTTATGATGATAAAATTTTTAAAGTTTTTGATCTAACCGCACCTGGGAAAGTGACCGACGAGTTGCTGAAGATCGGATTTGTGAAGTTGCTTGGAGAGTTGGTGAAGTTTCCGGGGAAATTCGTCGAGTTAGCTGTAATTTGGAATTATACACTTGCTTAACTTGTCTTAGATATCTCAGCTATATTTTTACTCACCAGCTGGAGTCAGCGTGAAGTTAGAAGGCCAGTTTGTGGAGTTAGCTAAAACAGTACAAGTGAGCGAGCTTTATGTAAACCAACCTGGAGGCAGAGTGAAGTTGGACGGGAAGTTAGTAGTGTTGGCTAAAATAAGAAAATCTAACTAGATTTTGTACTTGTGACTTTTTCGGTAGAAACGCAAACTCAAATTTGCCTATCTTCTACTACATTTATATGTGTATAGTTTACATTTCAAATATGCAAATTTGCGTGGATAAAAGTCACAAGTATCCTAGATCACAAATCCAAATGTATCCATAGATTTCAGGCCTGGTAAACACATTGATCGATCGATAAGACTATCGATAAGACTACCTGGTGGCAAAGTGAAGTTGGATGGCCAATTCGTGGTGTTGGCTGAAAATAGAAGTCTGACTCAAAAGTAGCGATCTTTTATAAGCCTAGACCTAGGCTAGAGCTCATTTCAGCTAGTTGATGTTAGTACAAAGTATTCAACAGTTATTTACTTTTCCAAATAAGATACGTTTTTCATTTTTGACTCACCTGGTGGCAAAGTGAAGTTGGATGGCCAATTGGTGGTGTTGGCTGAAAATAGAAGTCTGACTTAAAAGCAGCGATCTTTTATAAGCCTAGACCTAGGCTAGAGCTCATTTCAGCTAGTTGATGTTAGTACAAAGTATTCAATAGTGATTTACTTTTCCAAATAAGACACGTTTTTCATTTTTGACTCACCTGGTGCCAAAGTGAAATTGGAGGGCCAGTTTGTCGAGTTAGCTGAAACAAAAACATAAACATAAACAATTCCTGAACAAACCATATGGAGTCTGGGTATAGTTAGATGGCCAGCTCGTCGAATTGGCTAAATTGTCCGAATAGCGTTAAACTCACTCAAAACTAACCAAAAGGAGTCGACGTCGAGTTAATTGGAGCAAGTGTGGTGTTGAGATTTTGATAGTAAGGGACTTGGCAGAAGTATGGAAGTTTTTGAGCACAAGACACGGTTGACCATTCAGATGTGGCCGAGTCAAGTTGAGCACAAGCGAGGTTTGATTGAGCTGGTTGTCCTGAAAGCGAATCGGTTACTTTGTATTATGATAGAACCAAATTCATAGAATCGGTGTACGATAGCAGCTCTACTGAACTCTAAAGTTGACTTTCCCCATCACTCACCTTTTCCCCAATTGTTGTAGATCAATGGTGTTCCGTCACTGTAAACCCATCGATTTCCCTCTCCTTTCTGCACACCAATGAACGCCGGCGATCCGTTGAAGACTAAATTTTGGTATTCATTTAAATAGCTCTAATTTTGCAGCTTTTCAAAACTTACAAATGTCAATAAGAGCTCTCAGGTAAGCATTCTCGAAAACGTTCTTGATCTCGAAAGGCAACCCGCCGAGTTTTTCACAAGTTACGTAGGCGGAATCGAATGATGAACCTGAAAACAAACTTCATGATAGCTTTTTAAAAGCTGTAAGGTAGTCAAAATACATTATTAAGTATTCAGATATTCAGTATACACAAAGGTATACAGTTGACAAAACTGAACATTCTTCACTCAACGCATAACCTATCCAGTCTTTATCGGTTGAACATTTTTATACCGGTATAGTTTTGTATTCTCAAAATCTATCTACCGTTAGACACTGCATAAACACAGTTGAACTCGTTGGGGATTTGCTGGGATCCGGGTGGGCAATCAGCCCGAATCGAGGCGGCCAACACGAAAGCCAAAAGCAAGTAGGTGAACATCTGAAAAGAGATGGTCATGAAAAAGGTTAAACTTGAACATAAACTTTAAAAGCGGAAGTTGAAAAGTCAATAAACTATACTAACAAAATTTTAAACAAAAAGTTCAACTAGAACAGCAACGTTAGACAATTTCATGTGAAAGAGTGGAGCTGACTAGGCTTAGGCTCGAGTAAAGCGTTTTAGAAGCAAGCGCTTTACTCGAGAGTATATACATCTGGAGTAAAGCGTTTTCTAACGCGCGAATCAAGAAGAAAGTTACCGTAATTCTGTGAATAGACGAGTGGGTTACGCGTTTGCTTCTAAAACGAGCGACTGCTTCAAAAACGAAGGTCGCAGTTTCGAATCCGGTTAGAGTCAGCACTTTTAAGAAAGAATCCTGATTTACGCATAATTTGATAAAGACTGCTTGCAAAGATTTATTAAAGACAAAATAAATGTTTTTAATTACCGAAAACCAGCAGCAAAATATAGCAAAATGTTTCTAAAATAAAATGATTGGCTTCTTTTATACTAAACCGCAAAAGGAGCGTGTTTTAGAATGGGCATTACTTGACGTTTTACTTGACACTCACTCAATTACTCGGAAAAATTTACTCAAGTAGTTACTTACTTGAGATGTAAACACTCTAGACCCGACTATAAGAGGAGAAGGGTAGCCTAAAAGTTATAAAAGCGCATACTTCTACATCCTGGCTTAGCTAGAGAATGCTTTAGATTACATAAGATAAAGACTACATAAAAAAGACGATCTATAAGATAAAAGTATATCAAAAAAGTATTCATTAAGAAAAATGTAGAATAAAGATAATAATGTGTTGCAAGTATTCAACTTTCAAATACAGTAACCCACAGGATCTCTTGAAGTACAATCAGCTTTCACTTCGCTTCCTCACTTATCACTCCTCACTCCCATTTATACCCTTGAGTCTAAATGGTCCGACTATGACGTTTATTGCTTGAAGATTCGCCGAACCGCTTTCTTATCTAGATTTTCCTCGTCCACACCCAAGAATTCTCTCTTATTCTTTACGAATGTTCTGATTTTTGTTCATTTTCATGCAAAAGATTATTTTCGGCACACCCAATGATACTTTGTTTTTTTAGGAAAGCCTTTCCGGTGGCTTTATGACTCCACCCATTTCTATCGGGTTTTCTTTCTTACAAGTGACGTTTATCAGACAATTCGTGAGTTTTTTTTCCCAGTCAACCATTTTTTGCAAAGGCTTATCAGCTTTGTAAGTTCAATCATCATTTTCCCCAATTTTAAAAGTTGATTTTACAAAACCGTATACCGGCTATCAGTAGTCTTTTTCTAAATTCCTTGGAAATCCCAATTTGGTTAGTTGAATGCTTTTTGTTATCAGATGACAAATTTTGATTGTAAACGAATTTGATTTGTGATTTTTGATTTGTGCATTTGTGCTTAGTTTGTGGTTTAGATACCGTAAGACTTGAAACCTTTAGATTCTTTTAGATTCTTTTAGCTTTAAATCTCTTAGACACCGCCGCTTGATCACGGATTTAACAGAATGTTTCAAAATTGTAAAGGGCAGGCAACCTATCCCTCTTTTTCGAGATTTATTCAAAGTTAATCCCACGGTTAGTTCAAGGAGAGGTTCTTTCGTTTTAGAAATTCCAGTCACCTCCAATAAGTTTGTTTATAACTCTTTTCTAATCAGAACTGCCAGAATTTGGAATCGACTCTCCAGAGTTTTGAGAGAGTCCAATAGTCTCGAAACCTTTAAATTATCTGTAGATGATCTTGATCTTGAAGCTCTAGTGGATCCTTGATGTTATCTGTGCTACCCATATCCAACATGTATTATATCATGTTGCTTTTTATCGGCCCTTTTCGTGTTATGCGTATGAATTCATGTGTTTTAATCTTAAATCTAGCGCACTCTATCTCAGGTCCTGAATAAAGTATCTATATCCGAGTTTAGATTGGAGCAAAGTTTAAACTAGACTTGTATCGGTCCTATTTTCTTAGTCGAACCTGTTTGGTCCAAAAATGCAAATCCAACAAAGAGTTTTAAGAAGGATTTGTCGTACAAGTGATAGGGAAACCTCCAATCGATTGATCATCGATCACTATCATTGCTCAATTGGATGTCTTTGCTAATGCGTTTCCTTGAAAATCGCATGTTATAGTGGTCATCACTGTCGGGTTAAACTAGATTAAATTAAACTAGATTAAAGATCAAACTAGAAAAAACTAGATTAAACTAGATTAAACCAGATTTCCGTATTTCATCTTATAACAAAACTTTCACCACAATTCATACTCACTTTCCACCTTTTCAAGCATTGCTTCTAATAACCAATTCATTTTTATTGCATCGGAGCCAAGCCTCAAATAGGTAAACTTCACGCTGAAATCCTTATTCAAAAGTTTATATGCCTTATTTTTATATGGGATTTCAAGCTAACCTTTTGAATTTTTCAAAAAAAAAAACACTTGACCTCATTTTGAGCGGGCTTTTCCCTCCTGTGTGTCACTCGATTGTCACAGGCTCCCTTTTGAAAAAGTGTAAAATTAAAGACACATGTTGCCCGTATGAATCAACCAACAAAAGCTCTGTCTTTATTTTAGGATTTGATTAAAATACAGTAATCGTTTGAATCCTTTAAATCAAAAAAAGATTTTTTTCGTTTAACTGCAAATTCAGGCTCATCCAACTTCCTACCGTATTTCCTCTAATAAACGCCCCCCCCCCCTGACCAACTTTGGACGCTTCGTTCTCAGCCCCATTTTGAGATATCTTTATGTTTAATATATCAAAAGATAGCCCTTAATGTCTTCTATCTTTTGATATATTAAACATAAAAATATCTCCAAATGGGGCTGAGAACGAAGCGTCCAAAGTTGGTCAGGGGGGGGGGGGCGTTTATTAGAGGAAATACGGTAGATTCTTTTGGAAAATTTTGGATCAAACTTTGACACGAAACTTGAGTACTTCGTTTTTATAAACTCAAATCCTTCAGCATTTTTGATATTGGGTAGATTCTTGTGGATACAAATCTTGATAGATTTGTGCTCAAAAATAAAGTTCCTGATTCCGACTATAGGTGTACTTTGTGCTCAAAGTCTGTAAGCGAATTTTTTCTGGTGTAATAAATTCTGCAGCTATTTGAGGAAACAAGAAAAGCTGAATGATATGCCAGAAGGGGTACGTTTGAGCACCTAAGCTGAGGACAAAGTACAGCAAGCTGAGCTGAGCTGACTAGGGATGCTTTTCGATTTACACCTGGCTCTTGCCTTTGGCTTTTAGCTTACGGGTTTGAACCCGCTTGCAGACATTTTTTTGCTTTTGATACAGAAACCTTGACTAAACAATTTTAGGGTATTTTTCTTACATCCCCTTTGTCATTTTGGACTTCTAGAAAACTGGTAACAAATGAACAAAAAGACAACTATTAGGTTGATGCAAAAGTCTTTTTCATTTTTTTCGTCTGCCGTTTCAAGCCAACAAATGCACCAATTAAACTACGGTTGATTTCATTAGAAAAAGCAATTATTTTTCTGCAAAATAACATTAAAACGGGTTTAAAAATATTTTATGCCTGGATTTTCTTGAGAGTATGAAGTCGGGTAGTCAAAAAGGGCTAACTCGATGATGCGGCTTAGACACCTTAGCTAAAGAAAACCTATCTTCGTGTCAATAGATAAAAGATAGAGAAAAAAAAGTTTGATATTTCGCCAAAATTTCAGAGAAATTCATTCAGCCAATTTTTCCGTAGAGTTTTTTATAGATTTTTACGAAAAAGGCGTTTTTCACTCTCGAATTTGCTTGAAAGTGAACCGAAATTGATTTAAAAAGATGCAAATTGAACAAAAAAACACTTTTTTTATAGAGCAAACTATAGATTAATTGGTGAATTTGTTACTTTTTAACAGAAGTACGAAAAAAATGAAAAAGACTTTTGCATCAACCTAATATAACTTTTTACTCAGGCTTTTTGCTTGAGTAAAAAGCTCTGCTAAAAGAAAACACGAAACTTATTTTGCATCAAATAAAAGTAAATAACCAGTTGTTTAACCACAAACAACGAACCGTTTTCAGAGCTACGCCAAAGCAATTTGACTTTTACTGGTTTAACTGTTGAAAAAAGCCATGCTCAAAAACTCTGTGTAAACTTTGGAGCTGAATATCGAATTTCAACACGCCATCCCCAAACGACCTAGATATTCAGAATCCAAAAAGCTGCACCAGAAAAACTATGTCTAGCCTCAAAAGCCAGGTGTAAATCGAAAAGAATCCCTAGTGAACAAGGTAGAAGTTTCATGAACTCATTAGCACAAATTTAAATGATCAACCAGTCTGTTCTTAAAAGTTTTCAACAAAACTAAAACTTGTACTAAACCCCAAGGATTTTCCTTTCAAACGTGATAAATCTAAAGCTCTCAGGCTGACCTGTGAGTCGATTATGAACAAAGAACAAAAACTTGAGCTCTTTGAAACAAGAGAAATAAAGGGAAAAGACAGCAACTGTTCAACGTCTTTGTTCCAATTTTTTCCCTTTTTCCTTCAATCCATGCCTTTTCTTTTCACCCAAAGTTGTCTCATTAGAGCTCCACAATTACCTTCAATCTTTCAAAATCCCACCTTTGTTTCTGTTATAAATTTCGTTCTTTCAATAATGTTATTACTTCTAAAGACGTTTTCTAAAGTGTGCGCTTTAAAGGCTACAGTACTGTTTTCTGTGTTCTACTTGATTCCTAAAAAATGCTAAAAGACAGACACTGTACTCTGACTGCTTTTCAAAATTCAAATCAAATCCTGTCCCACATTGTCATCCGTTTAAAAGTCTAGGTCAATGAGGGACTTATCCAAAATGAAACCTAGCTTGATTTTTCATTAAAACATAACTACGGTAGCCTTATAGATAAAGTAACTTTAGAAAAAGCGTTAAAACAAGAAATCTACAGTCTAGACGTTTACAGATTCAGCAATGTGACAAGCGAGAGTCGACGATCAAAAAAATGGTTTACACGACTG